ATATCCCATGAATTTTTTCATTCAATTCAAAATATCTTTCATCTTTCTTGTGACTCCCTCTTTAGAAGTTTGTTGTTTGATTTTTTAATATTTGGGGATTTCCTAATTACCTTTTTGTAATTGCATTCTAGTTTAATTTTGTTATTGATAGAGAACATTCTTTGTATGATTTTGGTATTTTTATATTAAGGTTTATTTTATAGCCAAAAATGTGATCTATCTAGGTGAATATTTCATTACTTGAGAAGAATGTACATTCTGCTTTTGGGGGGCAGGTGCCCTATAAATGTCAGTTAGGTCAAGTTAGTTTTAGTGCTGCTCAGGTCTCCTATTTCCCTTCTGATTTTCTGTATACTTGTTTCAGTTACTGAGTTGAGAGTGTCGAAGTCTCTAGCTGTAATTGTGGGTTTGTCTATTTCTTTTTCCAGTTTTTGCTTCATGAATTTTGAAGCTTTGCGGTGGTGTTTACACATTTTAGATTGTTATGTTTTCTTGGTGAATTGATCCATTTAGCATTATATACGGTCCTCTTTATCCCTTGTAATATTACTCATTTTGATATGTGTTTAATATTTACTAATGTAGCCACTCCAGCTTTCCTTTGATCAATGTCAACATGATATATCTTTCTCTGTCTCTACTTTCAACATTTCTATGTCTATATAGTTAAAATGGGTTTTTTGTAGGTAGCGAATAGATGGATTATGCTTTGTAATCTGGTCTGACAGTCACTGCTTTCTAATGGAAACTCTCAGTCCATTTATATTTAACGTTTACATTTAATGTTATTATTGACATGGTTGGATTTGGGTTTGCAGTTTAGCAGTTTTCTTTTTGTTTCTTTCCTTTTTTCTTCCTTTGGTATTCTGATTCCTCACTTGATTTTTTTAGCTATATCTCCTTGCTTTATTTTTTAAATTAAGGTGTAATTAAACTATAATAAAATGCAATATATTTTTGAGTAGTTGCTCTAGTGATTACAGTTTGTATCTTGTATTTATTATGTCTATTTAAAGTTAATGTTTATGTTAAATACAGGAACTTTTCAACAACATAGTTTCATTTAAACTCTGGTCCTTTTACTATTAATGTAATATATATGTTCCCTCCACATATATTATAAACCTCACCATTACAACTTTATAATTTTGCCCTTAAATTGATAATGTTTCTAAAGAAATAGAAGAAATAGAGTTGTTTTTATGGAAAATAATACAATAATTAATAAATAATAATACAAGAATAAACTGTTTTTTGCATACTCACAACGGTAAACCTACTTTTGCCCCACACTATGTGTGTAATTATGTTAAAGGTCTCTAAGACTACCCCAGGTTTTTTTGCTAAAAGGACACACAGGATGCAGCGTTTGGCCATGCTCATAGCTCATTTATTATGGTGAAAGGACACAAAGCATCATCAGCAAAGAGTAAAATCTCATGGAAGAAAGACTGGAGGAAACCAGACACAAGCTTCCAACAGTCCTCTTCTAGTGGAGTCACATAGGAATGCATAATTTCTTTTTTTTTTTTTTTTAATTGATTTTAGAGAGAAAGGAAGAAGAGGAGAAAGTGAGAGAAAGAAACCTTGATTTGTTGTACCACTTATTTATACATTTATTGGTTGATTCTTCTATGTGCCCAGACCAGGGATTGGACCCATAACCTTGGCATGTCTAGATGACATTCTAACCAACGGAGCTTCTCAGCCAGGGCAGAATGCTTAATTTTTTCAGCATTACTTACAGCAACAAGCTGTAGTCTGCCAGAGAAGGGCATCTGAGCCTAGGAGTCCAGGGTTTTTATTGGAGGTTGGTCATGTAGGCACAGTATCAGTCACTAAAATTCCAGATACCAAGAAGTAAACAAGTGTTCAGCATAAACTCTATTGTTTCTGTTAACAGTTAAGGCACAGTAGGCCTCCCATATCACTTAGGTAAGTTTTATGTCAGGAAGGAAACTGTTTACCATAGAAGTTCCCAGACAGAGAAAGGTCAAGCTTGTGAGCAGGCCTTTCTAAACATAGCAGTCTTGTGCCTGCTATGTTAACTCTTTTCTGCACAATAATTTTTTATATTTACTTACATACTTAGAATTTCCAGTCTCCCTCATTCCTTCCTACAGATCTGGTATACACTGGCAGAGCCCTCTTGAATGAGAGTAATGTTTTTATGGAAGAGACTCCAGAGAGCTCCTTTGCCCTTTCTGCCAGAGGATACAGCAAGAATATGACCTTATGAAACAAGAAGCGGGCCCTCACCAGACATTCAGTCTTCTGGCACCTTGATATTAGACTTACCAGCCTCCAAAACTGTGAGAAATAAGTTTCTATTGTTTATAAGCTACCCAGTTTATGGTATTTTGTGATACCAGCCTGAACTGACGAAGACAAGATCCAAGTTACTACCTAGTGTCATTTTTTTGAAATGAAGAATTTCTTTTAGTGTCTCCTATAGTACAGACCTACTGGTGATGATTCTTTCAACTTTCATTTATCTGAAATATTTTTATTTCCCCTTTTATTTTTGTTTCTTTTTTAAAAGATTTTATTTATTTTTTTAGACAGGGGAAGGGAGGTAGAAAGAGGGAGAGAACATCTGTGTGTGGTTGCCTCTCACATGCACCCTACTTGGGACCTGGCCCGCAACCCAGGCATGTGCCCTGACTGGAAATCGAACCGGCAGCCCTTGGGTTCACAGGCCAGCACTCAGTCCACTGAGCCACACCAGCCAGGGCTATTTTCCCTTTATTTTTGAAGGATTGTTTCATTGGATATAGACTTCAGCGTTGAATGTCTTTCTTTTACCACTTTATTCATTCCAATGTTTTCTGGTCTCCATTTTTAAAAAGAACCAAAGACTTTTTTTTTTTACAGCAGTTTTAGATTCAGGACAAAATAGAGATGGTACAGGTATTTCCCAAATGTGCTCTTCCTCCTCACATATATATAATCCCCTATTATCCACATCCCAACTAGAGTAGCAGTACTTTTGTTACAATTGTTGAACCTATAGCAACATATCATAATTATCCAAAGTCTATAGTTTACATTAAGGTTCACTTGTTGCTATATGTCTGTGAGTTTGGATAAATGTATAATGGTATGTATTCTCTATTGTATCATATAGGGTATTTTCATTCTCCTAAAAATCTCTGTCCTCCAGCTATTCGTTCCTTCCTCCCCCTTAACACGTCTTAAACACTGATCTTTGTACTGTGTCTATATTTTTGCCTTTTCCAGAATGTTGTATAGTTGGAATCATACAGTATGTTGTCTTTTCAGATTGGCTTCTTTCACTTAGTAATATGCATTTGAGGTTCCTCCATGTCTTTCATGGCTTGAAACATCATCTTTGGGCTCTGAATAATATTTCATTATTTAGGTTTACCACGGTTTTTTTACCCATCACATCACAAGTTGTTGGTTGCTTTTAAGTTTTGGCAATTATGAATAAAGCTGCTATAAACATCCATGCATGGGTTTTTGTGTAGACATCTTTTTAACTCATTTGAGAAAATACCAAGAGCATGTTTCCTGGGTTGTTATGGTAGGCACATGTTTAGTTTTCTAAGGAACTGCCACATTGTATTCCAAAGCGGCTGTACCATTTTGCATTTTCAGCAGCAATGAATGAGAGTTCTTTTTGCTCCACATCCTCATCAGCATTTGGTGTTCCCTGTGTTCCAAACAATTTTGGCCATCGTAATAGGTGTATAGTGATATCTTACTGTTGTTTTATTTTGCATTTCTATGATGACATATAATGTGGAACATCTTTTCATGTCCTTTTTTTTTTTTTGGCCATTTGTATGTTTTCTTTGGTGAGGTGTGAATTAAAATTTCTGGCCTTTTTAAAAAATTGGGTTTTTTTTTTTAGTTGTTGAATTTTAAGGGTTCTTTGTCTATTTTAGGTCATAGTCATTTATCAGGTGTGCCTTTTGCAAATATTTTCTTCTAGCCTGAGACTTATCTTTTTATTCTCTTGATGTTATCTTTCACTGAGCAGAAGTTTTGAATTTTAATAAAGTTGAATTTAGCAATTATTTCATTCGTGGATCATGCCTTTATTGCTATATCTAAAAAGTCATTGCCATACCCAGGGTCATCTAAGTTCACTCCTATTGTATCTTTTAAGAGTTTTATAGTTTTGCATTTTACATTTCGGTCTGTAATCCATTTTGAGTTAATTTTTATGAAGGATGATAGGTGTGTGTCTAGATTCATTTTTTTAAATGTGGATATCCGGTTGCTTTAGTACCTTTTGTTGAAAAGACGATCTGCTCCATTGTATTGCCTTTTTACCTTTATCAAAGATCAGTTGACTGTATTTATGTGGTACTATTCCTGGGCTCTCTATTCTGTTCTATTGGTCTTTTCATCTCTTCTTTTGCCAATACTACACTGTCTTGATTCGTGTAGCTTTATGGCAATTCTTGAAGTAAGGTAGTGTCAGTCTTCCAACTTTGTTCTTCTTCAATAATTGTGTGGGCTATTCTGGGTCTTTTGTCTCTCTGTATAAATTTTAGAATCATTTGGTTTATATCCACAATATAGCTTGCTGGGATTTTGACTGAGATTACTAACGTTGAATATATACATCAAGTTGGGGAGAGCTGACATCTTGACAATATTGAGTCTTTCTATCCATGAATATGAAACATCTTTACATTTATTCATTTTATTTTTTATGGGTATTACAGTTGAAATTTAGTTTATTAATTTCATTTTTTTTTTATTTTTAGAGAGAGAGGAAGGGAAGGAGAAAGAGGGGGACAGAAACATTGATCAGTTGCCTCTCATAATCCCCAATTGGGGGCCTGGCCCGCAAGCCAGCCATGTGCCCTGAGCAGGCATGAAACTGGCAACCCCTCAGTTTGTGGAATGAAACTTAACCCACTGAGCCACACAAGTCAGGGCTAGTTTATTATTTTTTAAGTTAGGACCTCAGTTGGCTAATCTATGCAACATCTTTTTAAAATTTTTAAAAATCTTTTTTTCAGGTTATAAATAAGGTCCATCTTAAGGCAAATCATGTTTTAAAGAGAGATGTTAATGAACATTTAAGAATCAAGACTGTTTATGATAAAAGTATTGAAGAGTAAGTGCATATTTATTTTGTCTTTTTTATTAAGAATCAAATTATTAAAGATATTTTTATGTGTTACCTCAAGGTCCGTAGATTGAACTAGGTGCCAATGCACCTTCAAGATGGAATTAAGCTAAAAATACTTTTTAGTTTGGAAAGATGATGGCCATAGAATATGACTAAAATCTATACATCTGAGTAATTTAAACAGAATAAATGCAGATCTTCTTGGATGTGGTCAATAACAGACCTAGAAGCCACCTCCTCAATAATTACTTGGAAGAAAAGTAAGAGGAAATGCTTATAGGTACAATAAGAACATTTACAAAATTATTAACCAGAGAGATGATATAGTCTAAATTATTATTTAGTGTAAGGGGCCCAGAAAAGAGATAAATTATGAATCTATGATATTTTATGAAGATCTATTAAGAGTAGTTGACGTCTTTCCTGTGTTTAACTTCCCAAATGAATGAGATAGCATATGATTATGCATAGTGCTATGTTTTGGCACAGAGATAAATTGAAATTTTGGGAGATTGATACTGTATGCTTCCACAAAGCATCCCTTGTGGTTCCTGCCAGATATGTTCTTAACAAATGAGACAGTGCTCTGCCCCAACATGGCAATTCTTACGTTTCATGTTGTCAATTTCAGGTTGCTCCCTGAGAAAAGATACCTTGTTAAGGTAGGTAAAAAATACTTCTGGCTTAAACTGGATACTTAAAATGGGTATATTTTATCGTATGTAAATTCTACTTCAGTAAAGAAAAATATATACATAACTTTTGTGAATGACTAAATAAAAGATGTTGGTAGTGAATGGATAAATGTATTTATTATTTTCGCCAAAGGTGTCTTTGTGATGCACTCACTAAGCCTTTGTATTTGATATTAAATTAGTCTTCTTATTTTATAATTTAATATTAAATTAGTCTTCTCAGTTTCTTGTTTTCTTAAGTTGTGGGGCAGGAGAACACACTGAGGATAGTGTAAAAAAGCTGATTTTTTAAAATACATTGAGAATATGTTGTGGTAGAAATGCTTATTCTCCTGAAGGTTAATTGACCTGAAAGGATGATATGCCAACGTTGTTTACAGAAGTGCTAACTTCATTAGTTTTTTAACTGTTACAGAGAGTTTCAGGCTTGCGCACACACACACAAAGCTAATTCATTATGAGTTACAGAAATAAGTGATGTTAAAGTAAATCTTCTAAGCATCAGACTTTCTTTTATTTTTTTTAAATTGAATTTATTGGGGTGACATTGGTTAATAAAATTACATAGGTTTCAGGTGTACAATTCTATAATACAGCATCTGTATATTGTATTGTGTGTTCACCACTCCAAGTCAAGTCTCCTTCCATCACCATTTATCTCCCCGTTATCCTCTTCAACCTCCCTCCCTCCTCCTTTCCCTTTGGTAATCACCATATTGTTGTTTGTGTCTATGAGTTGTTTATTTTTTGCTTAATTCCTTTATGAACATAAGATTTTCTTAACATAAAGTACTTTAATGTTGGAACCAGTTAACTCAGTCCCAAATGGGAAGTAATTTAGATTAAGAGTTGAGATTTATGTTTTCCAATATTCTCTTTTAAATGGAGACAGGGAAAGAAGTTTACATCTCGAGTTCTCTCCCCAAACTCAACTAGAAAACTAGGAAATTCCTTTGCTCCTAGACTTATTTACTCTTTCCCCTACTCCTTGCCACACAACCTTTGACTATTTAATATGTATATTCCAGAATTGTAAAGCTTTTTCTTTTTTTACCTTCAGTCATTAAAATCCTGTCCTTACTTGTTTTAAATGTAATTTATAACTTGAGTATAATTCTGACTGGTTTTCTTTTTTCAACTTTTATTTAGAACAAACTTTTCCCACAAGCTATTTCTTATTTAGAGAAGACTTTTCAGGTTCGTAGACCTGCAGGCACTATCTTACTTAGCAGGTATGTATGTCACGTTAAACACAGATCATTTTCTTATCATTTAGTATTCTGTCCTCCCCATTCTAACCAGTATGGCAAATTATGAAATTTGTACTAGAATATTTTATTACACTTTTTCTTACAGACTAAAGTGGAAGGTATTTTAAAAGAATATAAAAGCATCTGTTGGATAATCACTCTTTCCTGATTTTCTATTACATGGTGACCTACTAGATCTTTTCCTATAGTGTAGTTGTTCCTCCCCCACTTGCTACGTTCACTTTCTCCCTCCTTTGTTTGTCATGAATATTAGCTTTGTGAAATATTTGGGTATTTGAAAACTGAGATCAGGAGGATATCGTATGGAACCAAGGTTCTTTCTTAGTCCACTTTCTAATTATTGATGAACTAATATAGCAGTTACTAGTTTTTTTTAACAATGTCTTTGACTGCTGTGAACTATTCTTTCCTTTTTTTTTTTGTTGTTGTATTAAACTTTGATGTTCAAATGAACTGAAGACAATGTGCAACAAACCAATACCTACGGAAGGAAAATGATCCCCATAGATACTGTACTGGAGAATGTGCAGAGCATACAAAATGTGGTCCAGTTATAGTGCCTGAAGAGCACCTCCAGGTAATTCAGCCTGCTCTTGCAATGTTTTTATTCTTAAAATAAACATAGTTGAAATTTTGAATCTGTGTCAAGAAATTTTTAGATTTGAAAGCTTCATTCTTCTACCAAAACTAATCACAGTTATACTGATATTAATTTTTCATTGGTTTTAAAATGAATTTAATGATATTTTCATCTCTTTTTTAAATTTTTTAAATTTATCTCTGGGACTGCTGAATCATGTCAGCTTAGACCTTCATGTTTGTCCTCTAAAACATCTTTTAACAGATACATACCCAGTATTTATGAAGGGCAATTTGACATTTATCTCTTAAAATGAAAAAAAAGTCTGTTTCAACCCAACCTATAAATATATTCCATAAAAATACTTATTAACTATGTAATATATATACAAGGATATTCTTTGCAAAACTATAAATATGACTCTGTCGTTCTCTTGCTTGTAATCTTCACTTACCCTGTGCGTTGGCATGCTCTCTCACCCAGAGCATGTGATCACGTGAGTCTAGCAGTTACTGGAGCCCACAGCAGACAGTGTGGGTTCCAAAGGACTAAGCTTTAATATGGAGCAAAAACTCTAGACATTGGCTTTTGTTTTGGCCTTGCTGAAGACAAGGTCAGACCTCTTCCCATGGCTCAGTAGACAGGGGACACAGGAGCACCTTTCTGCATGAATAAACCTTGTTATCATGCCACAATCTGACTGCATGGGTCCTTGGAATGTTTTCCATGTGACCCCATGGAAGAGCCCAATTTCCATCTACATTTGGCGAGCCAGCAGGAGGGGAAAGATCTGTGGCTTGTGAATATGACAAGGATGCCAGCTTGTCCAACACTGTCATCTTCCGGACATTACATATGCTGCCTTCAAGGGACAGCTGACTGACCTGAACTTTGCAAAATTCCTCTTCCCTAAATGAAGACTCCCCTACCTTTTTACTCCTTTATTCATTTAACAGATAGAAAGATCCTCTCAGTCCCGGGGATAGATAGGCATATACCCTTTGACAGTAAAAAACAGCTACAGAAGATGAGACCTTCATCAATTTATCTTGGTAAGATTACAAGGCTCACAGTCTTCAGGGGGAGTGTTACCATAGGTAATTAACTAACTATTGATAAAGGGTTGCAAAGGGAATTAAACATTGAGCTTAATAAACTGGTGTGCATTAGCCTGTTTGCTTCACAGGGCACTACAGCTTCACACCCCAGGGGATCATAGCTTTGCTCTGTCAAGGAGATTAACACTCCTTCTTTCCCCTACTCTGATACTGAATTGCTGGGGGTGCAAGAGGAAGTGCTGGACAATAGACATCTATCAGTTTAACTAGGGAGTGGACCCATCAAAAATCCCATGAAAGCCTGGGAAGCTATTTTGGACCATGTACAGAGAGGGGACACAGGAGCAGCCTCTACATGAATAAATTTTGTCGAGGTTTATTATGAAGCTGGCATCGTTGTTACATTCACAAGCCACGGATCCTGCCTCTCCTGCTGGCTTGCCAAATTACTGATTATTTAGGTCCATCCTAAACCCAAGATAATATAATACCAGGGGAACAAAGAAAATCCCAGTCTCTCTTCCTTGTGACCTGAACTTGCCACCTGTGTTCGCAACTCTGTTGGCCTTGCTGAAGACAAAAATTGGACTTTTTCCATGGCCAAATGGATGGAGAAGGAACACAGAGGCAGCCATCTACATGAATAAACCTTGTTGCCACACCCAAAACACAAAAATTCATTGTAAGTATGCCTGTGTTAGTATTAGTTAAATTATAGTCCAAGCACATAATGGAATACTGTGTAGCTGTTGAAGAATGAAGTAGATCTCTATATACTGACTTGGAAAGATATTTAAGCTCTTAAATTAAAAAAAAAAAGTTTTAAATCAGCATGTGTAGTTAGCCTATTTTATTTAAAAATTACTCAAATATTAAGCTTTCAATAAAGCTGAAATAAAAACGATTTTTTAAAAGATACATTCAGAATCAAATAGCAGAGGAGTGACTGGGGATCAAACTTACCTCCTCCCAGGACCAACCTGGAATTACAACTAAATTGTGGAGAAATCACCTGGAACAAACAACTAAACAACAGGGGGAGAGGAGCCTTATAACTTCATACAGACAGAAGAATCAGCTTTAGCACAACATCCCTGGTAAGGAGTGCAGTAGAGACTCAAGAAGGCAGGCAGGGCGCCCGTGGGCGGCAGCACCAAAGGGATATTGAAATGGCCAATAGGATTCCCCTGAGAAGGGGGTGGTCTAAGCCATAAGCGAGGATCTCCAGCCTAGAGCACCAGAAGCCAAAAAGTACACAGATAACAACCAAGAGCAAAAAGCAGAAGGGTTGCTCTCTGCCAGAGAAAGAGCCATTTAAAGAACCAAAGCATAAATTTTTATTTGTAGCCACTTACCCTGGGCTTTGGCAAAGGCAGGGGCAGAGTGAGCTAGAGATGCCTGAGGAGAGACTCGGGAAGGAGGATTTAGGGACAGAACTGAGAGAGTAGCTGGCAGGATCTTGATGCTGACTCATTCCCCAGATGGCAGCAGCCATCTTGCTCAGGCAGACCATTCCCCTGAGCGGCAGCAGCTTGAAAGGACCCAGTAGCCCCAACCCCAGGAAGGGCCTCGGCCCTGTGGTGTCTCTAAGCTGGCCTTCTGAGTGCAGAGTGGTAGCCACAGATAATAGATCCCTGGCTAAAGGGGACTCAGAGTGATCTACAGACACTTGAAGAGAGACTGGAGACAAAGACTTTGGGGAAAGAACAGAGAGAGTATCCAGTGGGACCCTGGTGCTGACTCCTTCCCCATATGGCAGCAGCCATCTGGCTCAGGCAGACCACTCCCCTTAGCAGCATGAGAGGACCCAATAACCACGCCCGTAAGAGAGACTCTGCCCCATCTTGTGGTGTCTCTAAGCTGGCCTGCTAAGTGCAAAGTGACTAGATTAACAGCTGAAGGAGACAGCCACAGACAGTAGATTCCTGGAAATCTCGAACAGACTGCCTAAGGTCAGACGGGGTCAACATTTGACATCAGAGGCAGATCCAGAAAGAAAAAACAGCAGTCTCATACTATAGAAGTTCCCACCACGAAGTCAGGAAATCAAGACTGATCAATTGAAGAAGCAGAAGCAAAAAAGAAGAGTCTAACAAATAACGGGAAGACAAACGCCCCTCAGTCGAAGAGAAAGGAAGAATCCCCACAAAGAGGACTAAATGAAATACAGGCAAGTCAGCTATCAGACATTGCATTCAAAACAACGGTTCAGAGGAAGCTTAGTGAGCTCAGAGAGAATTACAAAAAAAATACAGGGAAACTATGAGGAACTTAATGCAAACTAGATGAGCATGAAAAAGGACATAGAAACTGTAAATAAGAGACAAGAGGAAATAAAGAATACAATTTCTGAATTAAAGAACACAGTCGAAGGAATCAAAAACAGGCTCGATGAAGCAGAGGATCGAATCAGTGAGTGGGAGGATAAGGTAGAAAAGTGCTCCCAGAAAGTGTAAGAAAATGAAAAAAGACTCAGAATGAAGAGGCAGTGAGGGAAATGCAGGACAACCTGAAACGTAGTACTATCCATAGAATAAGGATACCAGAAGGGGAAGAAGAGGAGCAATGGATAGAGAACCTGTTTGAAAAGGTAATGATGGAAAACTTCCCTAATTGGAGGAGAGAAAAAGTCACGCAAGTCCAGGAAGCACAGAGGATCCCATTCAAGAGGAACCCAAAGAGGCCCACTCCAAGACACATCATCATTAAAATGGCAAATAGCAAAGACAAACAGAGAGTCCTAAAGACAGCAAGGAAGAAAGAGGTAGTAACAGCTAAGTGAGCCCCCAGTACGGCTAGCAGCTGACTTCTCAACAGAAACACTTCAAGCCAGAAGGGAATGGCAAGAAATATTCCAAGTCATGAAAAGCAAAGGCCTGCAACCAAGACTGCTCTACCCAGCAAGGCTCTCCATTAAAATGGAAGGCAAAATAAGGAGTTTCCCCGACAAAAGAAGGCTAAAAGAATACACCTCCACCAAACTAGTACTGCAAAACATGCTAAAAGGACTGCTTTAAAAAGATGATGAAAAAGAGTCTACGAATACCCATTTTCTTTCACAGTTACCATTACTTGATATTACCGATATTTTTAATACGTATTAATCTGATTGTGACAATGATGTGCTATTTTAATTGTTCCTTTATTATCTGTTGAAACTAAACCTGGTTTTGTATATTTCTTGCCTATTTCTATTATTTTTAAAAAGCTTTAAATGACGTTTTGGTATTCTTTATCCATTTATTGATTAAATATTTGTAGAATTTTCGCCCTAAGAAAACAAACTATTAACCCTTTTTTAGATGTATTGCAAATACTTTCCTATTTTCTTACTTGTCCTTTAACTTTTTTTATATGTATGTTAGTATATAGTCTTAAATGTTTAATGTAGTCATATATTCAATATTCTACTTAATAGCTTCTGGGTTTGAATATGTTACTTCAGGGTAAGAAAAATATTTTGAATTTTCTTTGAAAACTCCTCAGATCTTACATACTGGTTTTTAACTCACCTGAATATTTTTTTGTATAATGTGTGAAACAGGGCTCTATATTTGTTTTATTTCAAGTAATAGTGGTCCATGCACCATATTTGTTGAATAAGCCTTATTTTCCCCATTGACTTGAAATATCAATTTAATCATATATTACATTGTTAGACAGATATATACATTTGTTTCTAGAATGCTCATTTTATTTCATGGATCTATGATTATTTCTGTGCTGGTGTCATGTTTTAATTGCTGAGACTATAATGTATTCAAATTTTTTAATATTTTATAATGGATTTTTAAAATCATCTTTTTTATTATTTTAATTTTTAAGTTTCTTTTACATTTATATTTCTTTTTTTCTAATTTTTCAAATACATTTTTCTCCATTTACCCGCTGCCATTTTCCCCTGCCCCACCCACTCCCAACTCCCCCCATCAATCCTTC